CTACATACATACATACCAATACATACATACATACTATACATACATACATACATACATACATACATACATACATACATACATACATACATACATACATACATACATACATACATACATACATACATACATACATACATACTACATACATACATACATACATACATACATACATACATACATACATACATACGACATATGCGCGAGCATCTAGTTACCGTTCCGACAAAGTAGATTTCTCCGGAGCGTTTGCAAGGAGACTACTCCGAACAATGTTGATATCACGGCAACGCATTGCTTGACCCAAATTTATCGCGTCACCGAATTTGCGAACGTAATGCCTCTTCATCTCGCTTAGTCCTATTTCCTATTGCCTTCGACCCGCATTCGCGTCTCTCTCTATTGTGCGCCACATTTAACATCAAATGCAATTTGATTCTGTATTCCATTTGTCGTATTCATAATTCCGTATGTCTTACTCACTGTAACACGGAATGAGAATGAGATGGCAATATATGTGCAGTTACGCAGGGAATTACCGCTAACAAAGTACTTGCACATTTATCCCGCACGTATCCTATAATTAACCTGATATTGATAAATTGATACTATATAATACCTTAATTACTCTTATAATTACATAATATAATATACTATAATACTGATAAAATAAGAATGATATTTGTAATAATCTCATATTAATTTTCATGTGTGAATATGTTTTATATATTTTTATTTTATTTATTTAAATTCATCGATTTCAGAATTAGCGATGAAATAAGATTTAATAATAATCATTTATATCCAAATAAATAAATTAAATAATGTCCTATATACTATAATTATTATTTGCTCTTGAAATTAAATAATATTCATTAATTTTTTTTATTCATTAATTTTGTTACTTTGATTTGACATACCGATATTCTCAAACGGTTATTTGTTAATTTCATAACTTTTGTGTATTTATACTCATGAGGCATATTCATGAGGCCTATCACGGAACGTCAGAATCGTTTCATTGTAAATGAAACAAGAATGGAAAAACGAGGTATACGTTTTCAGATGGAAACACACTTTCTCCGAATTACGGCACCATAGCCTCCGAATATATTTTGGAGCTAAGCCAAAATATTTTGAAAAGGAACCAGAATGGGGATTGTTGCGAGTTTTCTTTAAGAAACGCTGACGCGTTCTCTTCTGTCGTTCGATGAAATACAAAAGGTTTTAAGGCAATGAATATATGCGGGTAGTGACATGAAAAATTTCATCGAAACTTGGTATGAGCATATGCCATTGTGGCGCACGCTATATCAGCTGCATACATTCGAAAAACAATGACTGAAATGCAAAGTGTGAATATATGCGACATATTGCGCGTAACGCATGTATGCACCGTGAACAAGTATTAAAACTGATTGTCAAACTGATTGAAAAGTGAACGGCTTTTCCGAGTGAATATTATCAGAGAAATTCAATTTTGTTAATTAGCTCAATTTCGAAAAAGAAAATCAATTATTTTTTATATTGCAGAGACGGTTAATCGTGTTGTTTTAACGAGATTGAAGAAATCTACATTTATACGTTCTATGAACTGTTTTATTTTCACACATTTTAAGCATGAGAAAAAAAAACGTAAAGCAGAGGTCGAATTCTCGCCCGAGTGAAAAGTTCCAATAGCCGGAATAAAATGTCTTGAGATCTCTTCAGAATGAAAACCACCAGACGTACATTTAATCAACTTCCTCGTTCGCGCCAAAGCGCCATTGCGAGGAAATCAGGTCGGGGATCACATCAACCGGTAACAAAAAGAATGGAACGATTCCTGGGAAGGTCTATCTAGGTATATTTTAGGAATTTAAGAAACGCACGTCTTGATACTCTCGATCGATTTTCGCGCGATGACGAAGCTCCTTTTCGCAAATTTCTTAAACGAATTTCCATCTTTACGTTCGTTGCCGTGCTAGGTGCGTTGAACTGGCGCTCTTTGTCAATTTTTCCGTCGTCCAGCGTATGCCAGCGAGCGTGTAGTTCCAAATATAAACTCCTTCGTGAATGCGTCTGTGCTATCCATTCTCAGTCGGTTGCGCCGGCTGCGACGGAGAGTTTATTTTCTAGTTTCGTGACACGTGCGCGCGTGCGAATAAACGCGTTCCTCTTTCGGAGAGAAGCTTTTCATTCAGAACGGTGTCATTTGAACGGTGTCGATATCAGAATATATTGTTCCTTTCCGAATATATTGTTGTTAACAAGTTGGCCAAGTTGTTGACTGCAGCCAGTGTAAACGATGAGAGAATTCACTAAATTGCTAATTACTTGACTTTTTGTCAATATTGTAGCATTAAATAGAAATCGTAGTAGTAGTATCGTGTGGCCATTTCTTTGCGCGCTGCCTATGTTATATGTAATAAACAAGTAGAATAATATTGCGAATTAAATTTAACAGTTTGGAAAACATTACAAAAACATAAAGTTTTCACACTTGGCATAAATTACGATCTTTAAAATATCAAGTTAGACACGTGAGATATTATTTGCATTAAAAGATAAGATACACTTCGAACTGTTTTATTTGTCCATACGTATTTTATCCTTTCGTAGGATGTATGTATGATTTATGATAGAATTACGCGTTTTTTATAAATAGAATGTAATTAAAAATAAATTTAAATCAATATAGTTCAATGTCAATCAGAAAAGACACGTGTAGTTCATTAGAAGAGTGGGAATGACACTTAAACATTCGAATGGAAGAGTTCGCTTTGTAAAAATTTTCCGTTCAACGTAAAGTATGGGCATGTCAAAATTTTTTCGCAAATTGATTTTTTGCGGTTGCTCGTCGCATTCGGGTCTCGATAGCCGATCGATCGTTGTCGACGAATCGATTGTCGACGAACCGCCACCGAAATTTGCGGAGCTCTCGAATTTCGTGGCGGAACCGTACGCGGAAGGCGTAGAGAGGCATTTTGATCTGTCCGCTATAAAATTCATCGACGACGAGGAAGCTGACGAAGATGCGGTCTGCACTAAGAACGGTTAGCCGGCGATCGATCAGTTTTTTCTTTTTTTATAGAAAAGTGGGTTGATACCGGCGATAAGTCCGTAGTTATTCCCCGCTAAGGGACGATATAAATAGATGGGCAAAAAGTTACGAGGACATTGTGGACTTTGTGCGCGTATATATACAAAGTTTTTCGCCGCGCAACGCAACGAATTTATCAGTTGCGCCGCGTGTCGCATAGATTTTGCGCTGATTTTGAAAGAAACGACGCCGCTCAGAGTACATTGAGAATGGAATGGAAAAACGCGATCCTATCGTGATTTCTTTCCGCAAAAGTAGGAGAAAGGGAAAAATAAAAAGAAAGCTGTCCGAGCAAGGGAGATATTAAATTAATCACGGAAACACGGTAACTTTTCGGATGAAATGAGTAAGTGAGAAACGAAGGGAATTTGTCAGGCTCGGACAGAGCGACAGAGAGAGGAAGAGAAAGAGAGAGAGAGAGAGAGAGAGATGCGCTTCATTTATTTCTACTCTTCTCCGTTACACGGTCGCCGCTATATTTGACTACATTTGGCTATAGCCGCGGCCTGGTAATGGCTTCTTTGACGCGCTTTTTGACGCGCGTTAAATCGTTAAATTTGCCACGCGATAAATTTGCCTAATTAATTCTTCGTGAATTCTCGACAGAAGAGCTGGACGGGCCGAACGCTGGGCGG